AGTACAGTATTTGGGGTTTGTACTGTATTACATTGCAGCACTGCTGCCAGTTCACTTTCTTTGATAATGATGATACTTACTTTTATTATGGTTGTGTACTTTTTTGACTTTGTAACACTTTCTTTATTTAATATTTTTCGGCTACATCACACGATAAATAATCCAAAGGCATCTTTCCTCAATTCTTTAGTCTGTTTTATAGTGAGACTATGCAATCTGATATCTACTTTAGAAACCAAATCAAAAAGTCTGAATGGTGCTGTAACATATTTAAGATAAGATAAGAACTTTATTCATCCCAATTTAGAAAATGTTTGTGTTGCAGCAGCAGCATAACAAGGCATTGTACTAAACAAATGAAATGACAAGAAATAGACAATATATATGTTGAATTTACAAATGAAAAATAACAAGATATAAAGCAAGGTATTATATATACATTAGTATGTGACAGATGTAATATTAAATATTAAACTGAGTATATACATGTAAATGTACAGTGTGATTTGATTCCAAGAGAAACTATGGATCAGAGATACTAAAACATGTATTCACACACTATTCTAAAATAAGTCATTAATAATAATTATGATAATACGTCTTATTAGGGTTGTTTAGTGCCAAACATTAAAGGAGACCTATCATGCAAAATGCACTTTGTGATGTCTTCTCTACATCAACATGTGTCCCCGGTGAGTCGGGGAACTCACGCAGCGTCAGAAAATAAAACCCTCTCTCTTTTCCTCCGTACCCAAATCTCTAAAAACGGGGAACAACGGAGCTGATCCAGATTTGCGTCCGATATGACGTAATATCTGAAATGTGGACCCACGGCCCAATCAGAAACGTTGCTATCAGAAACAATGCCCGACTGTTTTGGACGTAATATGGTCGGTGTTTACATTAGCATCGCTGACACTCAGAGCTAACCTGTACTGGAGAGCATGTGTGTGAAGAAGCAGGAAGTAGAAAGGAACTCACCTTGTGGTGTAACCGGCAAGAGAGAAAGCCTTTGAGCTCCAGACTGTTTCAGAGAGAATCCTTGATGTGGTTTTGGCATTTCATCATGGCAGTATTTAGTTTAGACAGTACCTGCCGGGTCATAAGCTCCGCCCCCTCTTTTTTGTTAAAGTTTTATACCCAAATCAGCACTTTTGAAACAGGAAGTGAAATAGAGGGAAATGAGGCATGGCTAGAATGGGTGATCTGTTTGGTATTTTGAGCAAAACACGATTTTTATATATCTGAGACCGATGCTATTGCCTACAAATAGCATGATAGGTGACCTTTAAGTATTTATATATTAAAGGCACTAATTATTTTAGAAAAAATTGCCAATCATCTACACTGTCCTTTGCAATTCGGTTGGACATGTCCTCGCTGTTGGTCAAATAAAGTAAGGATTCAAGGATTCAAGGCTTTTGTTGTCATGTGTGCATAGCTACAGCGTAGTTATGATTACTGATTCAGATGTGTTGTGTCCTTCATCGCCTCTTCTTTCCATGAATCACAACACGCTGGTTGAAGCGCGTCAACCAGAGCAGAGAGAAGCATTTCAACAAATATTCCTGGTGGCTAAAATGTGGTCGTGATTCATGTTCCTCACACGAGAAGTGGAAAACAAAAGCCAGAGAGGAAGAGGGAAACATTTCCACTGCGAGCGCAAAACACCAGGAAGAAGAGATGGAGAGTTTGGGTTTGAGGAGGATTTAAATTAGATAGAGAAACCAGATGGATGAGCGCAGAGAAAACACAACTAATGGAGATCAACACATCTGAAATATGGATATCTTTAAGCCTCATGACTGCTTTTAAATCTTTGTTTATTCTGATTCTTCAAGTTAGTCCCTCATTGTTTTAGAGCTCTGATCTTGTTGTTGTTGTTGGTTAAGGATCAAAGAGTCATGTGACAAAGCGACTTTGATATATTGATAAAGGAACAAGGTAAAGAAATGTATTTTGTCTACATTGTCAAATTTAAAGGAGCCCTATTATATATATATTTTGTTTAATATGTATTTGTGGCATAGCCTACAACTCGTAATACATGCAGTACAATGTGAATCAGATTAAGCACTATTAGGTTTTTTGCGGCAGTATCAACATTTGAGATATTTGTCTTACATAAATGCGTTTTTAATTAACGAAAATGTCGCTTCTTATCAAGACAACCACTACTACCACTATTTTCTATTCAAATAATTGATCAAAAGTGTTACCAAACAAGCAAAATAGTACAATATTTGATATCATTGCCTTATTTGGGAGAAAAAGAAATGCAACCTTATGTCATTCTTCACATTTATATATATTATAATGTGGCAATATACTGTTTCTTAGTATTTCACCTGTAGTCAGAGCGTCCTCAGATTACCGTGTTTGCTCGTTTACCTGTCGAGCCAAATCCTGAAATCCCGTTAGCCAATCAACACTCTCTGCTTCAGCTTCTGATCTTTAACCCCAGACATGTTAACCTCCTCTGAGTGTGTGTGGAGGGCAGACTGAACAACAACAAGCTCACACACACACACAGACAAAAAATAAGTGTTACAGCCGCGTGTGATGAACTTTAATCCAGATGCTCTTCCTCAAAGAAGAACCTCCCGTGTTTTTCATCTCTTTGAATATGTACTGTAAGTCTTTATGAGTCAGAGCGCTAAATGACTGAAACTCCACCTAAACGGAGACTTTAAATGTCTGCTCTGCTAATGGTGTGCAGCTTTAAAGGAGGACAGTAATGCATTATGGGTACAAATACAACAGGGAAGCTTTCTCTACTGCAAGGGTATTGTTTGGCGGTGGTGGAAAGTATATTTATTCAGATACTAAAGTACAATTTGACGTGAGTATTTTCATGTTATGCTACTTTATACTTCTACTCCACTACACTTTGGACGTCAGTATTGTACTCTTTGCCCCACTTTGTGTATCTGACAGCTCTAGCTCCAGATTGTTATCTAATACATCCTATAAATTAACTAATGCAAAAACCATGATGTGTTATTAAAATATCAAGCACAAGTATAAAAGGTAGAGATTAGCTCCATATTAACCAGCTTTGATGAACACATGCTTCAATATCTCATAATCAGAGGTGTACAGTAACTAAGTAGATTTACTCAAGTTCTGTACTTCAGCACAATTTTGAGGTACTTGTACTTTACTCGAGTATTTCAATTTTTTGCTACTTTGTACTTCTACTCCACTGCATGTATTTAATACCTTTAGTTACTTCACAGATGATGAATGATGTGAAATCTAATCAAGTGTTGAATCAGACTTTAGTTCCACCTGGAGTAAATCCACCAGCTACCCTGCAGTATACAAAGTCATTCAAACTAGCTGCACCTTTACCAGCTTTGAGAACACTTTCATGATCAATCATTATAAAACATATATATATATTATTCTGAAATGGACCAATCAAACAACGACTACTTTTACTGTCGCTACTTTCACTATATTTTGATGAGAATACTTTTCTACTTTTACTTGAGGAACATTTTGAATGCAGGACTTTCACTGTAACAGAGTATTCCTACACTCTGGTACTTCTACTTTTACTCAAGTACAAGATCTGAGTACTTCTACTTTTACTCAAATACAAGATCTGAGTACTTCTACTTTTACTCAAGTACAATATCTGAGTACTTCTACTTTTACTCAAGTACAACATCTGAGTACTTCTACTTTTACTCAAGTACAATATCTGAGTACTTCTACTTTTACTCAAGTACAATATCTGAGTACTTCTACTTTTACTCAAGTACAAGATCTGAGTACTTCTACTTTTACTCAAGTACAATATCTGAGTACTTCTACTTTTACTCAAGAACAATATCTGAGTACTTCTACTTTTACTCAAGAACAAGATCTGAGTACTTCTACTTTTACTCAAGCACAAAATCTGAGTTCTTCTCCCACCTCTGATTCTAATCAAGAGTCATGTCACAGGCACTAAACACAAACATGAACCTGAAGCTGAGCATCACATGACCTTTAAATATGATTTTGAAAGCAGGACTTGCAACAGAGGTTTTTTACGATGTATTATGTCACTCCTACGTTAAAGATCTGAGTACTTCTTCCACCACTGTTGTTAAGGGTGAGCCAACATTCCTTTCATGGCATAGCGCTCCCCCCCCTCCTCTTCCTCCTCCTCCTCCTCTTCCTCCCCCTTTTCCCTTCCTGCATCACCCAAAACAGACGCTGTAACACCCCTCCCTCCCTCAGAGGTTAAAAATACACTTTATCAGCCTCTCGTGCCGCAAAACAAAACCTGCAACGCCGTCAAGCTCGAGTAAGATGGGTCTGTTTTATAAAAAGTTAAGAAATATAGGGAATCGGTTGCCTGTAAGAATTTAAGTGAATAACAACTTCATTACTTGGTAGTTAGATTTTTAAGTTTGATACACAAAGTCTATTTAAAGTGGCCCTATTGTTATTATTATTTTCCCTTTCCTGGAGTGTGTTACTAAGGTTTTAGTGCATGTAAATGGTCTTTTAAAGCATGGAGACATGTCACAGTAGAGGAAAAATTACAAATATGAACCAGAACATTTGAATAATGACTTAAAAAAATTAAGAAAAATCTTGGTTTCCAGTTCCTTTCACTTTATTCTGTGTCTACGAGTTACGAGATACAGTGAAATGATAGAAGTGTGGAATAATAGAAGTAATGCAATATCCAGAAGTTCGTTGATATTGAACAGTTTTATTAAATATTAAGTCCAGGCTATGAATGAACTTGTTAAAAGCCTATTTAAATGTATATCAAAAGTGATGCAAAAACAATGCAGTTGAGCAGAAATGTAGTCATGATTGTTTTACCAGCAAATACCGTGTCTAGATTGTTGCGTAATTCACAAACCTCACAGTCAACATCTCTGGAAATACTTCCTTAAGAAATCTGAAACCAGTATTTTGTAGATCACAGAGATTTGAACATGAAGAGAGGCTGCTGTTCTGAATAGCTTGAGTACCTGAGGTTACCGGCTCACCTGTAGCTGTGGAGGTCTCTCTGTCTCCGGGGTCACCGTAGAGGTCATGGTGGCCCTCTGGATCCTACGTCCGACAGACATGCGTTCATTCCCTCTGAGTGTAAAACACAAGCTGACATCCACACTTATATACAGAGAGGAGGAGGAGGAGGAGGAGGAGGAGGAGGAGGAGGAGGAGGAGGAGGAGGAGGAGGAGGAGGGAGCGCCACAACCACAACACAGCGATTAGAGAGCAGAGAGGGAGGAGAGAGAGGTTTTAAATCCTCGTGAGTTTGCTGAGCTCCACCGAGGTCTGATCCTCTCCTGAAGAAAAGTCTCAACTCATCCTCTTCAATCAGCATTAGACGAGACAGACACACACACACACATACCATGTATACATCACTTCTGGGGACATTACATTGACTTACATGCATTTCCTGGAGACTTATCCTAACCTTAACCAACACATGCCTAACCCTAACCAAGTCTTCACCCTAAAATTAATGATTCCCCTCATGGGGACCTCCATTTTGTCCCCATAAGGGAGGCGAGTCACCACACGTGACTGTGTAAACAGATTTAGGTCCCCACAAGTATAGTAATACTAGGACACACACACACACACCGACAACAACAACTGTATGTGCCGCACAAATGTGTGTGTAGTATACTATGTTTTTAGACAAGTTTATAGAGTATACCAACTTATGCTGGAATTTGTATAGATATTATACACTAGATAGTTAGATACTGTGTTTTGCTTTTTAAGTGAAGTCCATTTCTATTCATTTGTATTATGTTTTAAACTTGTGTAATGGCATGCTGCTGTGACCCAATCAAAATCATAATTTAGGATGGATATAGTATATCTCATCCATGATAGTGTTGGAACAACAAGTAAATCTATCTAGTACTTTACTTAAGTACAATTTTGAGGTATGTGAGTTTTTCCATTTTATGCTAATTAATTATTGTACTTGACTACAATTTGGAGGCATATATTATACTCTTTACTTCTCTAAATGTATGTAACAACATCATATAATTTACTCTGCGGATTCATATTATTAATAGGAATAGAAATCACATAGAAATGTATACAGTACTACTTGGGATCTCTAACTGTAATGAGCATATTACTCCAAAAGTGTCAATTCTGCATAATGAGTACGTTCGGTTTTGGTACTTTAGGTAAGCCGATCTTTACCGTTTAGTGTAAATGTAAAACTATGAATGCCAGACTGTTTCTTAAGTAAACGATCTGAGTACTTCTTCCTCTACATGCTCATTCTCCTCATCAGTTAACTCCACCTCGTCTTCACTTTAATGTGGACAGAGCAGTCAGAGGGGAATTACATTTCATTTCGCTGTGCTTTGTGTGCAGGGAAACGTCTCGCTCATGTTCTCATTTGTTAAATGTTTGAAGTCCGAGTCGTAAAAACCGTTGAGAACATTGGAAAGTTTGGGACGTGTAACATGCACAAAGCCCAAGAAGTGTTTTATAAGTGCAGTCGGCTGTTTGGTCAAGACGAACATGTCGAACTCAATGTATTCGTATTATTTCTTTCGCAGGGGAATGAGAACTCGCTGCATTTTGTGCCTTTATTTGTATTTATAGTATAGAGGAAGGAAATGTGGTTAATGCAACCGTTTAGATAACAAATGTGTGATGAGTTTATCCAAATAACGCATATTTAGGAAATGCACGGCAATGTTTGGAGATGCTCGATGTTTGAGAGTCGACATACAAAAGTCCACGTCAAAAATGTTTTGTATAATTACTCTCACTGCCAGAAGGATAGAGGGTTCCTTACTACATGTTTAACCATATGGTAATAAATAATCATTCAAATGTAACTGATCAGAGATACCAATTTGGCGGTAGCTAGTGTTAGAAATTAAAATCAATGTTGATATGGCGTAATTTGAATTAAATACACTATTTAATTTAAATCCGTTTTATTCTGAAAAACCGGAAGTTCACACTAACTATTAACTTAATACTTTTATTCTGAAAATTCTTCACTTCCGGTTAGCATTAGCATGTGGCGAAATGCTACGTTTTCAAACCGTGAATCGAAGGTGAAATGACATGTGATGTTGTACACTGAGCACACTGGGATTAGCACTCATTTATTGACGCTGAATAACGTTTATTAGGGAATGTTTAAATAACCACAGACACCAGAATGATGTAATTTAGCAACAGAAAAAGGCAGGAATTGGATTGGACCCGCCCCCCGACGATGCCGGCCAATAGGAGAAGACCTCAGATGACAACAGGAAGAGCAAGCCAATAATGTATCTCTTCTACCCCCTGACCTGGTCTGACCGGACGCATGGGGGGGGAGCCACCACTCGCAAATGTCATTTGTACACCACCGCATCTTTTGTGTAATTAAATGCTGTTAACTTTTATAAGCTTCCCTTGACTCTTTTCAGTCTCTCCTGCTCTCAGGGTTCAATAATTGCTAACACTAGCTATATAGCTAAAGTTTGATAGCTGGCTTTTAAGATGTAGCTGGCGTGAGTTAGTGTGCTAGTTTGATAGATAGCAATTTTTAGCTAACTTGTTAATCAGATAGCTAACGTTCACTAGCAAATTTGAATATTGATTGGTAATTAGATTGCTAATGTGCGCTGGATAGTTTGATTGATAGATAGCTAACGTTTGCTAGATAGCTTGTTGGATAGCAACACAGTCTCACGGCATTTCGTGTTATAGTCACGAATTTAATCTATTGATTCGTGTTCACCAACACGATTTTCGCATTTCTTTCGTGTCACACAGAACGATGAAAAGCAATGTAAATAATAACAAATTAGAAGGAAAAACAGGTTAAAGAAATACAGATTTCAGTGTTCTGACACAGAACGATTCTAGAAGCAATGCATTTATATTGGTAGTATGTTTCGTGCCTGCACCAAATAATAACAAATTAGAAGGGACAAAAATGACAGATATCAGTATTCTGAGGCTCTGAGCCATTTATTTTCCTCATCGACGGCAAAAACACTCCGACACTTTAAATAAAAGGGATAGGGCTAGGGTAAGATATTGAGTAAGAACATGTTTTTATGAACCACACAGCTTCCTGTCTTCCACGACCCGACCGGACAACAAGACGTGGTGCAGGCACGAAACATACTACCAATAGAAATACATTGCTTTTAAAATCGTTCTGTGTGACACGAAAAAAATGGGAAAATCGTGTTGGTGAACACGAATCAATAGATTACATTAATTTCGTGACATTGTGGATAGATAACTCACAGCTAGCCAGTTAAATAGTACACTGACAGGTTGAGTGAAATCGCTCTGTAGGTTAACTTGTATTTATAAATGTTAACACTGTGGGACTTTCTCTACCCTTCTGGTAATGAGAGTTATGATAAACTGTAGATATTTGCTTTAATGTGGAGTCTGTACAGTAGTAGTATTTTCTCTTTACGGTGATGCTAATGCTAAGCCAGAATAACTTACATAGTCTTTGTTCCAGAGGTGGGAAAATGAAAGGAGAATAAGTCACTAAATACAATACTCTGCAGTTAATAGGTAAGCATCGTCCATTGAAGCAGTGATACGTGCAGTGTCGATTCTGCATTTCGTGTGCATTTCACACCCCTAACTGCCCTTTTGTATCCATGCTTTCTCTCTAATTTTGCTGAACATTGCAAACAGGAAATCTCTTGCATTACATTCCTGTCTGCTGCTTTCAAACCCAGTTCAATAAGCAAAGCCACAGAAACCCCTGAGAAAGGAAAGTGAACAGAAAGCGCTCATCATGGTCTCACACTATCAAATGTCAACAAGCATTTTTCTACCAAAATAAACACGTAGCAGTTTAAGGAGCATCTTCATGCATTTGGTAATTCGTAGGCTATTCTCTCGGTGTCACTGCGCCGATTAAATGACTTTACATTTGGACCCAGCACTTTATCCCAGCTCTCATTCCTGCGGTTAACCTCACATATTTACAACCAGGAGACAAAAGTGGCAGTGAACTGTATCCCTCTGTGAAATATACACATGGATTTTCCCTTTTTCAACTGTTTATACTGGGTAAATACTGCATGGCATCCAACTACAGTGATTTCCATCTGTGGGAAGAATTACAACATCGTTTTTGTACTTATAATTAAGATATGAACAGCTTCAGATCATCTGTGTGTATTCATCATACATCAGAGAGTGGGTTTCAACGCAAATAAGCTTCAAGTGGAGAGGAAGATAGAATACGATAGAATAACTCTTTTCTTTTAGTTGTATTTCTTTGAGGGTGTAATGTAAATAACGGGACCAGACTGCACTCGTTTTGTTGTCTTATAAGGCTTTCAACGGGACAAAAACAGGCTGCCAGTAGATACAGATGAGACAGCAGATGCTTTTCTAACTATCTTGGAGGTTAACGATTGAGCGAAAACAAGAAACAATCTGGCATTGTGATCGACACATAATGAGACAATTGGCCCGTGGGAACAGACGCAAAATGCCGACCACTTATAGGAGCAATCATGCTTGGGGAGTAACAGATAAGATGTTACAGGATGATGTAATCAGGATACAAAACACATAACCGTATTCCCTTACAGTTGCATTAAAAAAAAGCCATTATCTGATAACTGTTACATTTTATATTTGAGATAATAGCAGGATAACAATGTTACGAGAGAGAGAATTGGCTTTATGGTTTTGACTTCGTTCTGATTGCTCTGTTGTGATTGGTCAACCGCTCAGAGATGTCCCGCCCTTAAGCCTATCATGTACAATGTGTTGGAGCGCTAGCCAATAGAAGTGCGAGTGTTATATAGTGATGTCACAGTGTTCCAGAAGTAAACAAAGGAGTCCAATGGAGGCGTTTCAGGGAGGGAGGAAGACTGGGAGAGAAACTTTTGTGCTTAAGTTGAGTCTATGTTGTCTCTTTGAGGGACATTTCATTCTTCCAACAAGGGGGAAATTGACAACGTTAGAACTTTTGGTTGTGTCGTTTTCTCTAATTACATGCATGCATTTGCACAGTGCTATACCTCAACAGTATTAGGACAAAGTGTGACTTTCTTTACTTGGAAAATGATCTTTGAAATGTACAAACTGGGTTAAAATCTTGTTT